CCCTGGGGCAATGTCAAAACTGTGACCAAAACCACAACTTTTGCTGTCACTGAAGTAATACAGACTAGTGAAAAAACTAGTGAAGGATTAACATTGGAATCAGAATAGGATGCCTCTCTTTCGGCAATTCAAAGGAAGGTGTTGGTAACAGAGTGTGCATGGACCACAACCTGGTCTGATTGTAAATCATAGATGTTGCCTTAATTTCCAAATAAGTTCTGTAGATCCCTACAGAAGGAACTGAGAGCAGAATATGCTCTCATGAGAATGGTGAGGAATCCAAATGCAGAGACAGCTCTGAAAGAATCTCCCATGCTCTGATCTGCTCTTGACTCTGCCCACACTATTACTGATGAAAAAGCTCTGCATAGAGACCTCTGCTCATGAGGGAATGGATATTAATTGAAACTCATGCCCCATCTTTACAGATCCACTTCAGCTCTAAAGCACTTGTAGGGGAAAATGTTAATTCAGAACTGTTGTGGGAATGGGGGGAGCTCAGATGCTCTTCACATCTACTTTTAGTTCTGATTTATACAATTCTCTTTCTGCTTACCTCCACAGAGGCACTTTCATACAGTTATTTGTGAAATGTCCTGTGATACAACCATTAGACTATTTCAGTGTTACAGCAGAAGTAAAACTTCACCTCACGCAGCTCCACTGATTTTCCAGGCAAGTGAATTTGCAAGCAGCGTTAACAGACAGAGAACTGGCTGAAAGTAAAAAAGTTGTGAGAAGTTTCATATCAAGTCACTGTGCATATGACGCTGTTGTACAAACAGCATGTGGCATTGTGTTCCTACAGTATCCTAGGTAAGTCAGCTTGGGCAGAGCTATGCTGAAAGGAGGAAAAAAGTAGCCGAAAGTTATGTTTTCTATGTACATGTTAAATCACCTTCATTTGGCAAGGATCTGTCACCTTGCTAAAGGATGAAGGCTAACCCACAAGTAAGTAGATAATTGCATCTGTGTATTAAATAGCATTTTCCCCTGTGGGCAACCCATTTGCCTTCAGAGAGGTTCCAGATTCTCAAAATGTTTTGGTGGCCTAAATACTTTTGAGGACCCAGATCTAAAATGGCTCTTCAGAAAAAGACTTAGATGTTTGCAGTCTGTAGCTGTAAGTGCTTTTGTGCATCTAAGGTTGCAAAATTGTTTCCCTCTCACACGAGCTTTACCTTAAATTGCACAAGATTTAGTTCCCTATAAAATCAATGGCCATTCCTCAGCTTTCTACGGTATTCTTCAATTGGGTACTATAGAAGAGAAATTCAATCTATCTGATCTGTATTTGCAGATACTCTTAAAATTGGCATATAAGGAATGGAAATTGGGATGGATAAAAGTTAAGTGCTAAATAGGTCAAAAAGTCAAGGGACTAGAGATGCCACCAGCAGTAGAAAGGTGATTCCAATAAATTCTTCACATTTCTTAGATTTTAACTGAACAACTAGCAAGAACATATTTCCTACCTGCATGCAGGCAGCCAGCAACTGACCTGTACACTGAAAATAAAGATTCTCTATTCATCATGAACTTACAGCCTTGACAAACGAACTGCATATTTTTTTAATTGTTTGTATAAATATTTAATATTAAAAATGTTTAAGACGTGCACCAGGTCATATAACACCACAGAAATGTCTGTGAGTTAAATAGGTCAGGTCTTAATTTCTTTTCACACTTCTAGAGTATTAGTTCAGATTTTCTTTGGTACAAGTGCAAATTGGATTTGTGTTCATGTTAAATGTTCATGTTCCAAGAAAACTGAACATGCCTCTGTTTCTGTGTTATAGGAACACATAAATTATTTGTATTTACAGTAATGCACAGGAATCCTACACTAGAAACCTGCAGTAGAAAGAGGTGAACAAGATGGTCTTCTTCAACTCACACTTCAATTTTGTTCTACTGAGAAGTTTTGTATTTCTGCTAATATTTTTCCACCATAGTCCAAACCAAAGTGAATGTGATTTTTAAGAGGATCCAACAATACTGCACTCTAGTACACTCCATCCCTTCTCCCTGCCCAGAGCAATCTGGTCTGTACCAGAGCTGAGTTTAACAGCCACTGCTGATGCAAAGCCTCATGCCTTTGAGACCAGGATGCACATTGGATTTTCCTTCCTCATGTACAGGATCAGTACTCCATGTGAGGAAATGAACAGCTAGTTCCAGTGTGTGATTTTTTTGCTTGTCGTTTGTCCACATACATTTTCAACTGACCAAACATTGTCATAACTTGAGCCTGCAAGCACTTCTTTGGGACTGCAGAAATGAAATCAGTGTGTTTTGTGTGCTCAGGATATTCTCAGCATCATTTGAGATGCAGCCTTGTCTTTGATCTTCCTGATGTTTTACTCAGGACTCAGTAACTACTGAAGGTACGGTTACTGAAAACCACAGACACTCCATAATGCCTCTTGGAGTTCATTACGTCCTGCCAATGCAGTGACAGCTGTTTTTTTCCATCCATTACCATGAAGGTGACCGCCAGGATGGGAGCGCCCAGCTCCGCCAAGCGCTCATAGCTGCTGCCTGCACAGCTCCCACCAGCCTGAGCATGGGCAACAGAGCCAATGCTGCACCAAGATCCTTGCTTTCCTCCCCACAAACAAATTTCATTTGATGAAATAATGCAGGCAACAACTGCCAAAGCTCAAGCCACCCTGGGAACAGCTGAGTGCATGCAAAATGACAGACGCAAAGCACCTAACCTTTCTTAATGTAACATGTTGCCCTTTAAATCCTTGTTAGAGTCTTCACTCCTGAAGCAGCCTCAAATGTGTCCTCTGGCAAGCAGTAGCCTCTGCCTGCAGAATCTTTGCCTAATTGCATTTTGGCAGAGCAGAGTGGGAAGAAAGGAGAGAAAAGGAACTAGATAACTCCATGGTTTAAATCTGTCATGGGCTGAAAAGTGGAGGGAAGTGGAGTCCTTCCTCCTTTGCTAAGCTGCCTTTTGTAGGATGTGACTTGCTGCAGTCTAGGCAAGTATCCAGGCATTAGGAGGCATTAAGGTTTTGGTTAGCTGCTCACAAATGCACACATTCACTGATGATGGCTAATGTGACTATCATTATCCCCTAGATATACTTGGTTTGCTTTCATGCATAGGCTATTTGTTGATACATGTAAATTGAGGAGAGGCAGAAAAGCCTTGCAGGACACAAGGACTTTTTGCTGACTGGTCTGAAGCACTTTCCACCAGCTGAGCATTTGCTTGAATGTCCTTGGCCACTTCCAGCTTTTCTCTGTCTCTGTACTTTAAGTTCTTCCAACTCAAGAAGACAAACACAACAATGAAACAGCATGCAGAGTATTCCACTACACAACTCATGACAAAAGATATGTTTGCATGGCTTACCTCCCAGTTATACCTATCTTTTGCTTTTCCTTATGCCTTAACCCAAAAAGCATGCCCTGTCCCCCGTGATAGGCTAAAGCAGCTGGGAAAGGTGACAGTCCTCCTAACCTACATGCCAGCTTAAGGAAAGGCACAGCTACTTTAGGAGGCTACAGCACTGCTGCTGTTCCAAGGGGAGACTATGGGAGTCTACCTCGCTTGGGAAAAGTGCCTGGGGTCTGTCCTGAATCAGTGCAGGGGGTATTGCTTAAAAGAAATCCTAAATATTACAGGAAAATATGGGTTAATGATCATTTCTGCAGGAGTGATAAAAAAAAATCATATTGTTTGGTTTCTGTGACTAGCCAATGCATGCAGATGAGTCTGCAACCTGGTTTCAAAAACAGTGAACGTCCACTGATTCTTTTTAAATCAGTGGGAGCTCACTCAAAAAACAAAGATAAAACATAAAGCGTAAAGCTAGCTTTATTTTTCACAATTTCCTGTACACTGACCCTGCTAAATTAGATCCAGTGAATCACAGCTGCATCAAGAGTACCCTCACAAGGATGAACAGTGTATAAAGGCATCCAGCTCAGCATTAGTGTGGCTGTGGTTCCTGCAGCAGTGCAATGCTCTGCCGCAGAGCCTCAGAGTTTGCCAAGGAGAGAAGGAAGGGCGAGTGCAGTCCTGAGGAGGGAAGATGGATTGTCTTTGATTTGATCCATCCTTTGTTCATCTCCGTGGCACCGCAGCCTTTGCCATACAAGTCATAAAATTTGCTACCAGCAGCTATTTTGACAGTGACATAACAAAGCTCAGAGGGAATGAAGAAACACGTCCAGAAGTGTCAAAACAACACAGCACATTGTGTTCATACCAACATGATAACATGGTGGTTTATCAGCAGTTATACCACTATTTTAAAAAGAACAAAATGGATTTTTTTTTTTTTTTTTTTCTATAGGATCAGGTCTCTTTTCCTTATGCACAGTATCTTCACAAACCTTGAGAAACAGCCCTTACTGCTAAGCTAAGAAAGAATGACTTCCTTGGAAGTGAGTGTGATTGCTGTGAAATCCTCTGGCAGGCTTGCAGGCAAGAAAAAAAAATCTAGTATTAAAGTAGTCCAGAAAGACATGACTGAAATCATGGTTTAAATTTACAGTTTTTCATCTGGTAACATTCTTCCATACTGTTTTAAGGGCTCTGGTACTTTTCCTGCAGTCTAAAATTAACCTTCACCTCATATGAACTGAGGAAATTTCATAACTATGTCAGTATGTAACACTGCCTTCTTGGTCACGGGTACTAATGGTAATAATTTCAAATATATTTCAATTTGCCTTGAAAAGAAATGTAACAGAAGCTGAACAAACATTAAATGAAATAGTAATAAATATATATAAATAAGTGTACATAAAACAGTAGCCAGAACTCTGTGATAGCGGCATATAGATCTGTCAGGCACTTCAGTCGTACGCTGTACGGAACGAGCCCTCAGAGCAAAAGGCCATCAGCTGCTATGCCTGACCTTGGTGTGAAAAAGGAGAGGGATTAAAGGCGCTGTGAACTGAAGTGATCTGCCCAAGGCATGCTGTCAGGAGCTGAAGGAGTTGCAGATAAACCACAGGACTCCGGAGTTCCTGACTGGCAACCCAATGTAACCCAGAGTAAACCCAATGAAAGATGCAGTAGTTTGAGCCCAGGCACTATCGAATCCAGCCTGGTTCACTCCAAGGAGTGAGGTCCATTTTGCCTCTCTCAAGGGGAGCCGGGGCCAGGTCACACCATAGCCTTCACGGAAGAGTTTTCTGAATGCTATGGACAGCAGTGGGCATTTGCTCAGGCTGCAGGTGAGTGCCAAGTGAGGCTGATCAACAAAATGATGCCCAAAATAATTTACCTGATGCAATGTACTGGGGTGAGAGAGCAGAGTGGGGTGCCTGTTGTGCTTCAGTAGTGGATTTCAAAGTCTGTTTTCTCCTTACCTTCAGCAACCACAAAATTAACTGTGAAAGAGAATACCATTTTTTTCAGAATGCTGAACCACCTTATTCAGATGCCTTTGAAAAAAAATGTGTTTTTATGGGATGGAGAGGCTAGGGAAGCCTTGGGATCCTGAGCTGGGCAGAATGTACTCAGTAAGTACAGAGGAGTACACTTCAAGGAACGGTATTTTTAAGGTTCTATATTGCAGTCCAGATAACTAGCATAAGAGGATGGAGCTTGTTTTATCTTGTTTCTTTGGTGTATTTTTTTAATTAGCACTTATATCTGCTCATTTTTATACACATGGCAGGGCAGCCTGATGGGGGAGGTAGAAGGCTTTCAGAGCATCTGTCCTATAAACTCACTGGAAATTATCCAGTCTTTTTTTGCCCAATTATTTGACCAGCCAAATGTTGACACTTAAGGAAGGCATGAAATTGGCTGCAGGGCGTGCTTAACCTTTTCAAACCAAGGCTCCAAAATGGATTTTTCAAGCCAAATACCCAAGTTTTATTAAGAGAGATGTACAGCAATTCAGGTCTATGTATGTGGCCACTTAGTCTGCTCAACAGTGGTTTCCAAAGGGAAGGTCAATTAGTACTAATTGCACAAGGTTCATTGGTATATACATGGGCATGTAGTATGGGACTGTGCCTCCTCCTTAGACCATGTCACACACACTATAGTCCCATCCAACAGCTGTGAGGTGACTTGAAGATGAAAAGTTAACATCCCATATCCAGTCCCCAGAGTCATCTGAGCTCATTCCCCAGATGACAGTATAAATCCTAGTAATAGCTAACAAGGAGGTAGGCAGGTACCCCAGAGTTTTCTGGCTGCCCCAGAGAAGAGCTGCAGTGATGTGATATCTCGCAGGTCTTCTGGGATGTGATATGGTACAAAACAGCCTGCATCCAGCTCTGCATGACCTTTGGACCACGTGGAAGGCCTGCCTCCACCTATGCTGTCTGAAGCATTTAATCTCTCTTTGGTTCACCAAGAGTGTCTCCCATTAGCTGATGATGGGAAGAGAACCTGCAGCTCACAGTCGTATGCCTCTGTAAAATTACAGAATTGTTACAGTTGGAAAAGACCACTAAAATCATCCAGTCCATCAACCCATCCCCACCATGCCCACTGACCATGTCCCTCAGTGCCATATCTGTCCTTGAGCAGCCCCAGGGAGGATGACCACACCACCTCTGTGGGCAGCCTGGTCAAAAGCCTCACCACCCTTTCTGAGAAGACATTTTTCCTTCTTTTTTTCTGTTGCACCTTTACAAGCAGACAGCAGCAGCTGGGCTCTTTGAAAGACTAAAACTGAGGAAGGTAACAGTGAGAGTAACCAACTTGACATTTTCTTTTCCTTGTTTCCTACTATTACAGACAGAAATTAAATTATTTTGAGAAATGTTTTCCCTTAGAAGACATCCTAATACGGAGTGCTTAAAACCACAACTCAAAATACGTATTTTCACAGATCTCATGTGTATTATAAAGAAAAGCCAAACTATGGCAATCCCTTTGCACAAAAAATATTTACAATTGCTATCAAGGAAAGTTCTGATGCAGTATTGATGCTGTCATTAGCAGAACCAAATGCACTTTGTCCTGCATATAACTCACTAAGGAGCTATGCGAAAAAGCAGAAGCAAAGACAAGTTGTATTTTTTTCTGGAAGAAAGACAGCATACACTGAAGAGTCCAAACTTTTGCCTGGAGAAGACACATGGAAAGTCATACGCACTGATTTACGCTCTTCAGCCTGGAAAGAGCAGATATGGGGTGTGATGGCAAAGGTATTTGGGGACTTTCTCTGGTGACAGTGATTCTTTTCTGCAGAGCTCATCAGGTAAAACTTAAGCAGCACTGTGCTCTCACCGGCAATGGAGTAGCTCCACCACCTGGGGTACGTTGGAATTGCCTTTCTTCCTCTGGTACACTGAATTTATATACCTCTATGGTTTTATTTTGCTTTGTTTCATTGGTTTGGTTTTGTTTTTAGTTGTTTTTTTTTTGCTTTGTTTTGTTTTTTGGTGGGGGTGGTAAGGGGCGGGGGGGTTGGGGTTGTTTGGTTATGGGGTTTTTGATTCTTTGTTTTGTTTCTTTGTTTCTTGGTTTCTGTTTGTTTTATAGCTGCTGCCACGTATTTGAAAAAAAAGAAAAAACAACAGTAATTACGAGATAAAGCTGTAAAAGCATGTAAATGGTAACACAAAGCTGGTCCTTCTGGTCCTGAACTTTTGCCACTGAACCAAGAGGAATCTTTGCTTTACAAGCGTCCTGTTGTACTGTGCTGTGTTACAGCCTTTCAAAACCTATAGAAGTCGCTGTCCCAAGAGGTAACAGTGAAGCGGAAGAAAGGAGCTAGCTAATTTGTTTTTTTTCTGATACATACTGTATTCATGTACTTCCATTAAATACGTGAGTATGGAAAAAAAAAAAAAAAAAAAAAAAAAAAAGCAGATTTGGAGCAGAACAGCCTAAGGCTTTGGTGAAAGAATAAATAAAGCCAGTGTCTTTACATCTATCTCTCATTTTTATTGTTGAGAGCCTCAGCCCAGTTCTTTACACCCTGGTGTCCAGTAAAAATGCAGCATGGAAGCATAAATTTCAAGCAGTGGGAAATTCAACCCAGCAGAAATCAGCCTGGCAACAGAAGAGGATAATCAAAACCAAGCCTTGCCCACACTGCAGTTTTTCCCTTCCCAGTCACTCCCATATTTGTGCAGTTGCAGCTCATATTAAGCCCCCTAAGACCTTTTTTTTCCCCCACATCTCTTTCCCTGCAGATGTACAGGTGGCTTATCTCAGTCCCACCTGCCCTTTGTAATGCTTGGCATTGGACAGCTGTACAGCCAGTGACCAGGGGTTGCTCCCCATGCACAAGGCAAATGGTTGGGCAGGTCAGAGCATCCCATGGATGCATACTCTCTCCACATTATAGATTACTTTGGGCAAAAGCTAGAGCCCAGAGCCTACAGACCCCTATCTGAATGAGCAGCCTCAGACCTCTGTGGTCTATACAGGGAGAGCAGCAGCTTCCTAATGCTAGGAAGAACTGGAACATTTTCTTTCTGTTTTGCCACCCTGTAGAGCTCAAATCTATTTTAGAAGTGTTTTACTTGTCAGAACAGGAGATTCAGCATCAGAATGAAAAGATGAAAGAGGGCTGCAGTTATTGGTGGCATCACAGTAGCACAGCTACAAACAAAATGGAACACAATGGAAATATATATGTTCCTATATGGGAATATATAGACACATGTGGTTCTGTTATTTTGTTACTTCTGTTCTTCCTCCAACCTTACAGCCACTCTCCCTAGAAACTTCTGTTGGTTTGGGGTTCTCTTTGGTTTGTTGTTTGTTTGTTTGTTTGTGTTTTTTTGTTGTTGTTGTCTTATGAAGCACTCTTCAGGATCAGAAGCAGTTGTCCCATTGCCTCTGGTCATACAAATAAATCAGTGCAGAGTGACCTCAGCGCTGTCAAAATGATTGGCTCACTTTGACTAACTGAAAGACCAGCAAGTAACTGGAGGACCAAAATCAATGAAACTAAGTCAATGAGTGGATGCACCACTCATTCCCCTTGGATAGCAATGCCCTCAGTATTGCTCCTGCTTTCTTTCAGAGGAGAGCAGTCCCTGTGCCTGGCTTTTATTGAGTAAACATCCTAAAGGACCATCCGGCCCAGGACCCTTTCCAAATGAGTGGGCTGCAGAGGCTTGCAGAGCTCAGGACCCAGGGCAGGGGAATCTGTCTTCACTCCTGGGCTCCAAAACCACAGGTCAGAGTTTTACAGTTGTAAGTATTTGTTGTGTGAAAACAAACAAACAAACAAACAAACAAATAAATAAGTTTTTTTTTTTTTATCTCCTGCCACTCAATCTGTCAAAATAATTTAAATAAAACAAAGAAAGAGGAAAAGGAAGCAAAAGAAAAGTAGTTTCTAACCCTCTCATGAAGCTATACTGAAGAAAAGGAAGAGATGTAACTTGAGGATGGGGCTTCCAGAAGGACTTTTTAAACCTTCCTTATTTAGTTTATCTAAGCCCAGTGAAATGAGCTATGAAAAAATACATAAAAAACATCAGACTTTAAAGAACCAAATCTGTTGAAAGCTTCTGCGAGTAGAAAATTCCTCTATTACATATTTGGCAGAGAAGTGGCTGCATAGACAGATGACATGCCATTAGAGTCCACATAAGTAACCACTAGGGAAAGCACCTGCTGCAGTACAGAAGATGTTAGAAATGCAAAGATCTGATTGAAAAGTAATTTATATTGCAAGCAAATGCATAATAGGAGAAGACACACTGCTCATCATAGATCTTCCCACAGAGGAAAGCGAGACAGAATAGAAAGTAGTTAATCCTAAGGAAACAATTAAAGAAGATTAAGGGGAAATGATTTTTGAAAATATTCAATACTGATCCAAAACATGACTGATTCGGGTTAATGAAAAGATGGTTCATCCTCTCAGCCACAGTCTTGCAGCCCTGAAAAATTCTTTGAGTAAAGAAATAGAGAGGAATACTGAGTCTAATTCAGCAATGAGATCACTGAGTTTCAGTTGCTGTACCTGCCTACTGTCAAGGAAAATGAGCATGTGCAAGGAAGTTCAGGTTTCATATTAGAATAAATGATTTTAGTGTCCTTCTGTCCAAGGTCTCCCTGTTCCTAAAAGCAGTGGGAACAGAGAGAGCAAAGATTCTTGTGTTTTCTTTCTATGCCAGCAAAATGATTGATGTTGAAGAAAGCCTCCACTTTCTGCCTTGTTTCCTTGCACTGATCTGATCTTGCTCTCATGGACATTAATAGTGAGAGTTCTATCAGAGCTGGCAGGAAACTGAGTTGGACCCTGCAGTTACATTCACTGAAGTGAGATTGTGATGATGAAAAGAGGTAAGGTTTCCTGGTTTCTGCAGCTCAACTCACAGGCTGGATCATGAGGCAACACCAAAGCTGGAAAAGGGCAGTGGAAAGCCTTACAGGTTGAGCTGCTTCTCCCTCCTGGTAGGAGAGAAGAAACAGACACCTTGTAAAGGACCACCACCAACAAAAAAATGTTCTGACTTTCTGGAGCGTGCTTGGTTCCCACTGCTCTTAGGAACAGGGAGATGTGGGACAGAATGAATGAAATGAGGAAAATTAGAAGTTTTGTGTGCAAGCATCTTCATTTTTCTGGCCTCCCAAATGTGCCTGTCATGTCTTCCTGGTCTATGTGTGTTCATGTAATTTAGATGCATAGTCTCACAGTCAGCATTTCACTTGCCCTGGGTGAGCCCCATGGTGAAACCCATGCAGTCTATCAGGGTGAGGCTCTGAGGCCGCAGGACCTCTCAGGGATATGTGATGCCCTCTGCAGCGTGGGGACCTACATCAGCTGGACCATATTTCACAAATGCGTGCTAGCATTGGTATTTGTTGTTGCTAAGGGAGAAGTCCAGCACCTCTCCAGGCATTGCTTGCAGGAGGGGATTCACCAAGGGCTTTGGTAATTGCCAGGTTTTTCCTTCCCATGCCCAATGCACAGCTCGTAACAGTAATTCAGTAGTCTTTGGTAAGGTCCCGAATCAGAACAGAGTTGCCAAATAAATGAGCGAGGGCTCTTTCCCTCTGAGTGCTTTGCAGACAGAAACAAGAAAAACAGTTCCAAAATGGTAACAGCATGAATCTAACAGCAATCTGCAAGTCAGATAGGAACACAAAGAGCATTTCATCTCCTTTGTGATTAGGATTGAGCTTGACACGTGGAAAGCAACCAGACCACACAGACAAAGGAACACTGGAAATAATAATCTTTAAAGAAGCACATCTGAAAAATATAACTCTTCCAATGTTTAAATTTGTCTAGCAAGCCCAGATGCCAAATGCATTTCAGGAATAGCTCGGCAGTGACTGAGTACAACATTTAATTAAGTGATTATATAATCATCCCTCTGTTTTATGAAGCAATAATTCAGCTCCCAAGTGGATAAGCTATGAGGCCAAAGGCCGGGCAGTTTATCACAATGAGGGAATCTATTTACTGTGGAGGAAAACAGGGGGACGATGATGTTATTGTTAAAATACTGGTTTAATTAATGTAAAATTAATAAGTCTTTTTTTTCCTTTTCATTTTGTAACAGTGCCTGGCTCGTCAGAAAAATGGCTCTTCTGCCATTTTCCATGTGCAAGTGGTGGTTATTTATGGCCACACGGAACGTGCAGGAAGTTAATGATGTCACGCAGTCAATTTATTGGGGAAAAAATTGCTAGAGTCATTTTATCAGAGAATGATATAGTTCTCTTTGTGGAATATAAGTAGACAAGAGACTCCACTTATATTGTAAAAGAGAGATCAGACAAGGTAACTTCACTGCGGGAAAGGTTTTCACTGGATTATTAATAATAATTCCACTAAACCAGAGGCTCTAGACCCACTGAGCTGTGACTTCACGTAATGCACAATATATCATTAGGGAGATATGGACAGCAGTTGGTGAAATTACATACAGTACCAACAGCATGTAGAAAGTTGTACAGGCAGGCAACTTGCTCAGAAGAGTAATGCTTGTGTAAACAGGGTGCTACAGTGATAGGGAATGAGTTGCTCTAAATTATGTGTCCGGGTTTTGTTTACAGTTCTCTTCAGGTATTTTATTACAGATTTCAGTAAAACCCCAAGTAGGTAAGGGAATAAGTGTAGAGGGTATTCTTGAAAGTGATTGAGAGTACAGTAGAGGGAAGAATGATTTACTGCAATATGAAGAATCAGAAAACAACAGGGATAGCAAAAACAGAAAAGAGCCAGCAAAGACAAAGGAGAATAAATTCAAGAAAATCAACTGGATATAAGGACAAGGAAAAAGGGAAAGAAATGCAGTGACCAATGTTGATTAATATATACAGATAGCAGACTCAGAGCTGAGTAAGTAACGAGTTTAGGAGGGTGAGAAACTTCCTTTTCACTGTTGCTACCACAGTTGCACATTCAGGAAGCCCGCGTGCAGACTCAGCATTTTTGAGAGGCACTCAAGAAGATGTCCCACCTGCTTCAAAATATGTGGATGAAAAGAAAGACAGAAAGAAAGACAGAAGGAGAGGGGGCGGGGGGGGGCGGCGCGGGGGAGAAAGAGAAAGGAAGAAGGGAGAAGGGAAACAAGGAAGGAGGAAACCAAGGAAGGAAGGAAAGCAAGGAAGCAAGGAAGGAAGGAATGAAGGAAAGAACGAAGGAAAAGTCTGTGCATTGAATTTAGCCTATTGCAGTAAATTCTGCTTTTACTATGGCACTGAGGTATTAGGGACTGTATTACATGCTGGGTTCCCAAGATGGACTGTTCAATAGACTGCACACCATGTAATCACTGATTTGATGCCTTAAAAGAAAGCTTATAGGGAAAGCTGATGGGAGAAATAGCACTGATACAGGCTGAGACTGATTACTAAAATGGGGAGGAAAACTATTAGGTTGCATTCATTTTATAGGAAAG